ACAAATTTAACTTTTTTTTTACCTCATAAAAATTTAAAAATATATATAAATAAAAAAAAATCACTAAGAAAATCAATTATCAAACCCGTAGAACTTAATACATATATCGCATTCATTATTCCATAATCTTACTTATCAATTTTTTATTATCTCATGGTTTTTCAATTCTCCAAAAAATAATATGACAAACAAATAAGCCTTCGACGAAATTAATAGGGTCTCTCAACTCCTACGGTGGTGTTCATGGCCACACAAAGCCCCCACTGAGTTCCAATTTTATCAGATGTCTCCGAAGGTACAGTTAGCTCAATACTCAATGAAGAGGGCCATTGGGACATAGATGCTTTGAAATCTATTTTAAACTCCCAAGATATCCAGGAAATCCTCAAAATCCACAGGCCCAAATTTGTCACATACACTGATATTCCTATTTGGGTTGGATCCACCTACGGCAACTTCACTACAGCTTCAACTTATCAGCTTATTACAGGGCAGGAAAGAGATGGTAGGGATTGGAAATGGCTTTGGAAATTAAAGATCCCCCCAAAACTAAAATGTTTCCTATGACTTATTCTCAAAGAGAGGCTACTAACCAATCACATAAGACTTGTGAGGAATATGACCACATCTGACTTGTGTCCTAGATGTGATTTGTCTAACGAGGATATGAACCATCTCCTCAGAACCTACACCATTTCACAAGACATTTGGACTGAAATCAAAAATAGGAACTGGTGGGAGGAAGGTTGTGATAGGCCTATACTTGAATGGATTACCTCCAATTTGAAAGATAAAAGTTGAGTATTTTAGCAAAAAATGACAACTTGTTTTCACCATAACTCTTTGGCAAATTTGGAAAGATCGCAACAAACTTGTGTTTGAAAATATTAAACCTTCCATTCAGATCAGTCTCAAGAACATAAGGAATTATGTTCATGAGATTGATGAGGCCTATCACTCTGTCCTCCACCTTAGGCCATATCAGCACAGACTAATTCATTGGCTTTGTCCATCTGCAAGGAAACTTAAATTAAATGTTGATGGCTGTTCTAAAGGTGACCCAGCCCAAGCTGGATATGGAGGGCTGCTGCGTGATGAAACGGGGGTATGGATCTAGGGATTTTATAGAAAGCTGGGACATTGTTCCAGTCACGAAACTGAACCGTGGGCTATCTACAGAGGACTCACAATCTTATTCTAGAAAGGCACCAAGAGAGTTAATATTGAATCTGATTCAGAACTGGCATCAACCAAATACAGATTGAACCATGCCTTAACTCACCATATAAAGCTCTCATAGAGGATGCAAAGTTTCTGTTGAAGAGGTGCAACTGCTTCCTGTACCATACCACAAGGGAAGGAAATAAATGCGCTGATCTTCTTGCAAATATGAGTTGCTCAAGATGAACATGTACCGGTGCTTGAAGAACCTCCTGACGAAGTGAAGGCTCTGATCATTAATGACATGATTGGAGTTATTGTGCTGAGGGATTAGTTCATCTCTTTGTTTTTCTTTATTTTGATGTTTCTCTAAACTTCTGTTTGTTTGAATTTCCTTTGAATCAAAAAAAAATAAAGCCCCCACTGAGTTGAGTTAAAATGCTAAACAAAAAAGAAAATCTCAAGACAATACAGAGTCAACTCAGTGCATACATTAAATACCAAATGCCCAACATTTGCAAACAAAAATGGTTATTTGAATCAAACGACATTCAAATCTATGAATATTGACACAAATCAAAATGCCTCACCGTCATCTGTTAAGTCTCACAGTATGTATATGCAATGGTTTCATATCTCAGTCATATATATATATATACACTGAGAGAGAGAGAGAGAGAGAGAGAGTTTTCTTTCAATTAAAACATAGCATACTCTTCTGCAAACTTCCTCCTGAAGGGTGTTCAAAAAAGAAAAAAGAGTGAAACGTACACATGCAAAGATTATCATTCCCGCTTGGTGATTATTCGAAGGTACACATAGAAAAATTCTTTACAAAACTATGGAAAGTCATCTAAAGGTACATTATACAAGGGCACCAGCAACTTTTTACAGCATTTTAACAAAAACAAAATTCCCAAGTCACATATTAGGACCAACCTTACGCACTGGACTAACCCTAGATTTATATATTTCCTAAGAGAGAGACAAATTCTAGGTACATGGCTATCAATACTTATTGCTCAGTACAACATATATATAGCTTTCCTTTCCTTCTGTCTTCACTTTTTTGAGTAAACATTGAAGCCTGGAAGTTCTTGGTTTCAGATTCAGAACCCCCTTTAGCAGGCTCAGCTATTCTACATAGGAATCATGAATTCATCTTACAAAATAAAACAGAACGGCAAAAAACACCGAAGGATTGTCAACTTTATCAAAACCAAAAAATTATTTGCATTGTTTGGTTCACTAGAATGAAGATTAAATGGAATGTTCATTTCTCGGTTCCATTCTAATGTTTGGTTCGGTAAAAAAGAAAGGAATTTACATTAAAAATGGAATCACCATTCACCAATTTAGGAGAATGGCCATTCCATTGGGACGCCAAGGAATAGTCATTCCATTCTTGCCTAAAATCATCCACTGAACCAAACACTACCAAAAGCAGACGAGAAAATTAGATTAATTACCAAGAACACAGAAACACATACACTAGAGTTAGCTGGCACTTGATGATTCTTTGGATTTTTCAGTCACTGCCTCCTTATCGGAATTGGCTGCATCTACAGTACAAGTAGGAGTCGTTTGCACCTGACTCGTATTTTGGGTCTCCGATGCAATTCCCAAAACCACCAATACGGACCTACAGAACAGTCCATGCAATCAAAGCTCTACATATATTCGGTTTGTGCACAAAAGTTGGCAAAAAAGTAATGCAATTCCTTTCAATCTTTTTGTGCACAAAAGTTTTAAGCAAACCTTGGAAGTGAAGACCGTATATTCGGTTGGCTAGCATGAGCTATCAAGGGGGCCTTAAGCGCTGCTGTTCTATTTAATGCATTTTCGAGCTGTGCCGGTGGTAGCTGAAAGACAAAGGCACCATCAAAATAAAATCAAATAACTTTTTCTTTTCCCTCCCGCTAGAAAAATGATCGACAGACTGAACTAAAAATGCAAGGGATGTTTCACAAATATCCTCAAGAGGACATAGAGGCACGGGAATAAGAAAATTTGTTATTGGCATTCAGAGTTTTCATGTACTTTCCCTGTATGTCAGTGACCAACCCATAAAAATAACTTTTAGAAGAGTGCCAGGCATTGGAATATTTTTTCCCTCCTCTTTTTTGGGCAGACATTATTGAATATGCATTATTCACATTATAATGTGCAGTAAAAGAAATACAAGTAGAAAACTTTCATCGTGATGATGAATAATAAATATTAGAGATAATGTTATAGAGAGGAGTGCACCTCATCTTACCACAAAAAGTCATAAAATGAGATAACTTTTCTCAACACAAAAGATGCTTTTTGCTCACCACAAAAAGTAACTTTCCATAAATTCGCCATTCATAACTTCTTAATTTTCACCATAAAAATCGTCACTTTCTTAGGATGTGCCCCTTTTAGGGGTGCACATCATAAATTCCCCATAAAAGTCAAATGTATATAATCAAACATAAAACATTTAGATGCAATAGCCATAGAATCTAACTTTTACCAAAATTGTAATACTTCATAACCTTCACAATACATATACCCATACCAAAGAGAAATTTAGCCATGCAACTGATGATCAATTATTGATCTTATTGTAGACATAGCTTCAAAAAATATGTATTCTTCTCAAACCGAAATATATCTCGTGGAAATAACAATTTCCTTTGAAATAAAATTCCAAGACAAATGATTCATGATGATCTTACTGGGTAAAATAATGAAAGTGAAAAAGTTCAAGGAACTTGCGATGACTTTTAATTTCTAATAAGATGGTTTGGTACAACAAGCAGAACGCACCTGAAGCAACACACTAAAGGACTGAGGCTTTGTCAAGAGAGCACACTTCAAGAATCCTACCCACAACTTCGGGTATTTCCAAATCTGCAGAATGTCCAATCAATTGTTAAAAACAGCCTGGATTTGGGAGTGACTAACTGCAATGTATACTGATTAAATACAGTCACCTGCTTGTTAACAAGACGAGAGAGGATTTCCATGATAAACTCCACCTGCATAGCAACCATACAAGACCTGGAGTCTTAATAAATATCAAAGTACATAATATCCATGGAGAAAAAATAAAGGTGATCACCCATCATCTTATAAAATAAGCAGGAAGCGATTAATTTGATGGTAGTGTAGTTAAAAAACAGAGCTGTAAGAAATCAAGCTGAGTTTAGTACTGTAGTATTCAGGCCAAGCTTTGTGTTCCTGGTTGTTTCCAAGCTTCGGTCAGCAACTCCTTGAGTAACTCAAGCTTGGCCAAGTAGGTCCTGACATTGAGAAAGTAGGCAGCCTTGGCAATGCAGTCCGGGAAATAGAGCACTTCGTGGTTTGGATAAGAGCTATGAAGCACGGGTACTCCAAAAATGTTGCCATACAAATATCGGGTACTTACCGGGTGTGAGTATGCGTACCGATACGGCTGCACACGTACCGGGTACGCCAAAAAAGCACCGGGTACATTTTATACGATCAATATACTGATGGGTACGGGATTGGTATGTGATCGGATACGTAATGGGTACTTTTTTGGTATTACAGGATAAAAAACGAGATTTTCTACAAATAAAGGGCACTGGAGCAATTTTTTTTGTCTATTTAAAAAAATTATATAAATCTGAGGTTCTTTTGTAATAAATAAAAAATGAAACCAATTAAAATTAGGCTTTCTAGATCTATTCGATTATCTCCTTCAGAAATACTCCCAAGAGAGTCGAAGAACTCCTTCGAAGGTGCGATTGAAGAGTTTTAATCGGCGCTGATTGATTCTTTCCTTCAAAGACCACATTTCGGTAAGTTCATCTTCGATTCTTCCCCCTCTTCTTCTTCGATTCTTCTTCCTCTTTCTTTCATTTTTTTTTTTTTTTATGTTTGTTCTGTTTCTTCGATTCTTCTTCGATTCCAGTTTGTTCTGTTTCTTTGGAGATTTTGTACTCTTTCTTCGCAGATTTTGTTCGATTTTTCTTCCTCTTTTTTCATCTTTTTTTTTTTCTCCAGATTTTGTACTCTTTCGGCAGCAAACGAAGAACAAAGATAACTCTTTTTTTTTTCCTTTGTTTTTCTTCAATTCTTCTTCCTCTTTCTTTCATTTTTTTCCAGATTTTTTTTTTCTTTGCAGCAAACAAACTGATCTGTTCTTTTCTTTTTTTTTCCTTCTTTTTTTCCCCCTTCGTTTTTTTGATTCGATTCTCTCCTCTTTGATTTTCTCTTTCTTTGATCCTTCTTCCTTTTTCTTGAACTCACCTCTTTTTTTTTTCTGATACATATCATATATATATATTATTTTTTATATTTTTTTCCTCACATCCACTGGAATTTCATGCAACTTGCAAGTTTAGAGCCTTCTCTGTGATCATCTTAAAAAAAACAAAGGTATTTAACAGTGCCTTCTTTTTACAGTCGTAGACTATAGTAGACACAATAAAAAAATTGTTATTTAATTTGTATGTTGGATGTTTAGCTATAAATTTAAAATTTTTTTGTTTTTTAAAAAAAAGAAAGGCATACCTCAGCCATACCCATATCCTACTTTTTTTAAATTTGTTGTATCGGCATACTCGTATCGTACCCGTATCCGTATCAGTACCCGCACCAGTGCTTCATAGGATAAGAGTCAATTTTAACAAGTCAAATCATTTTTACTTTCACAGATATCGAATACCTTACAGGCAATTCAGCTCATTTGCACCAACCAACTTCAGAGGGTTATATAGTAAAGAAAAAGGATTTGCATGACTGTCATTAGTTAGCTGCAAGGGATGAGCCTACAACAACCCTCAAGTGTCAATTGTCTAGGATAAAATCTTTTTTTTGATAAACAAATTTTATTATCACAGCATCAAGAAGATGCTAAAAGAATACAAAATGAACCCCACAAAGTGGGGACCTAACCAACTAAATCATCGACAAAATCTAAGATAACAAATAAATATGGATTCACTCTTCTCGACACATAGTTGTACAAAACACAAAAACCAAGACTCAAAACATGTAAATGGGTCGAGCACTTCCTTGAAAAATTTGACCATTCCACTCCAGCCAAAGCAACCACATCAAACACAAAGGAGCTAATGCCCAAGCCTTCCGCTGCTGCTTCCCAACTCGACCAATCCCCTAACAACGAAGAACCTCCCTTATCTACTTCGGCTGAACCCACACCACTCCAAACAAAGAGAAAACAAGCACCCACAAACGAAAAGCAAACGGACAGTAAATCAGCAAATGATCTACTGTTTCCGCATCCGCACAACATATGCAACACCAATTAACCAAAATATGATGCCGACAGATCAGATTATCAATAGTCAAGATCCTACCAAAAGCTGTTGTCCACACAAAGAAAGCCACATTCGATAGAACACCAGGGACCCACACAAAACGCCAAGGGAAAACCCCCCCTTCACTACCACACAAGGACCAATAAAATGATGAGACTGAAAAAACACCTTTAGCCCCTGGAACTCCCCAAACCAAAACATCCGCCCCTTCCCGCCGAACCGAAACCCCATACAAGAATGCCAACAAATCCACCAAACTTCCCAATCCTGCGTATATCGACAAAGAACAATATCCCAAACCAACCCCTCACCCCCTCCAGCCAAGTAAGATACCACCAACGCCTCAGGATCCACGCATTAGGATCCACCACCAAACGGTAGATCAAGGGAAAACGCTCTAGAAGAATAACTTCCCCACACCACTTATCCTTCCAAAATTGCATCCGAGCTCCATTGCCCACCCGAAACTGGACTCTATCTCAGAACGGGGCCTTAACCAGCCAAATCCCCTTCCACAACCCATACCCAAAAAAACCCCCCACCACCCTAGTACACCATTCTCCCCTCCCCAACCCATACTTGAAAGCCACCACCCTGCGCCACAAGTGATCCCGTTCCTGAGAAAACCTCCATAGCCACTTCCCCAACAAAGCCAAATTAAACCTACACAGCCTACGTACCCCCAACCCCCTAGCCCTCTTAGAGCAACAGACCTGCTCCCAATTAATGAGATGATACCGAAACTCCCCACCATCACTTCTCCACAGAAAATTGCGTTACAGCTTTTCCAGCCAACGAGCCACCGACACAAGAATGACATACACTGACATAAAATAAGTCAGAATACTATCCAACACACTCTTCACCAAAGTTAGCCTCCCCCTCTTCGACAGATACTGCCTTTTCCACCCTGCAAGCCGACACTTAACCCTTTTCAACACCCCATCCCACACCCCCTTCGTGTTATAAGGAGCTCCCAAAGGCAACCCCAAATAAGACACCGCTAAATGAGACACCTACCTTACAGCCCAAAATAGCTGCTAAAGACAAAAGTTGAACAACCTCCCCTACTGGAATTAGCTCTGACTTCGCCAAATTAACCTTCAGACCTGAGACCACCTCAAAGCATAACAAGACACATCGCAGATGCTCTAACTGTTTTGGATCAGCCCCATAAAAAATCAAAGCATACAACAGGTGGGAAACACCAACCCCATATGCCATCAAAAAACCCTCCAACAAGCCCTCCTGCACTGCCCGAGACAACAACCAACTCAGCGCCTCCATGATAAGAATAAACAACAAAGGGGACAATGGATTCCCCTGTTGCAATCCCCAAAATGTCTGGAAATAACCAGCCAGCGTCCTATTCACCAAAACAGACATCCGCATCGTCGAAATACAAAACTAGACCCACCGCCTCCACCTGTCCCCAAAACCCATCTGCTCCATAACAACCATCAAAAAATCCCAACTGACATTATTGTAAGCCTTCCCAATATCCAACTTACAATTCAGCCTTGGCCGACCTCCCCGCAATCAAGAGTCTACACATTCATTGGCCACTAAAACCGCATCTAAAATCTGACAACCACCCACAAAAGCATGTTGGGGTTCCGACACTACCTCCCCCACCTACAACCGCAACCTATTAGCCAAAGCTTTCGCCAATAGCTTGTACACACTACCCAACAAACTAATAGGACGAAAATGCTGAATATCCTCAGCCCATCCTACCTTAGGAATCAAAACAATAAAAGTCGCATTGAAACTCTCCCCAAACTGGCCCGTCTGGTAAAACTGTGACACCACTGCCATCACATCCCCCTTTACAACCTCCCAACAATACTGGAAAAAAGCCATTGTAAATCCATCCGGACCCAGAGCCTTATCTCCACTCATCCCCTTCAAAGCATCCACCACTTCATGTTTTGCAAACGGTTGCTCCAACCCATAAGAATTCGAAAACATATCAAAATCCAGACTAGCAACCCCCCAACACCGAACTTACTCCGGAACAGATGCACATAAAACCCGGCAATCCCCATCCGAACCTCCTCCACATCTGTCAACTCCACCCCATTAACCCGAATCTTCCCAATCTGATTCACCCTCGAATGCGCATTTGTCATCCAATGGAAGAACTTTGTATTACGATCCCCTTCTTTCAACCACAAACACCTAGACTTCTGCCTAAAACTGACCTCCTCCATCTGTGCAATCTAAGCAAAATCAGCCGGCAAACGCACTTTTTGAGCCACCTCCTCATCGGCCAAACCCACTTGTGCTTCCACATCGTCCAAAGACTGCAATTGAGCCAACACCGTGGCCTTCTGCCCATCCAAATGACCAAAGACCTCTTTATTCCAGTGTTGCAAGTCTACCTTTAGCCCTTTCAGCTTCTACGCCAACCTATGACTCGAAGGACCGGACACAACGTAGCCCTCCCACCAACACTTCACCCAAACTGCAAACCCATTCGACCGGAGCCACATGTTCTCAAAATGAAAGGGCGAAGGACCCCTCCAAACACCCCCACCATCTAATAGAATTGGCCAATGATCAGAAACTGACCTAGGCAACCAACACTGAACCGCCCCTGGAAAGTGCTTCTCCCAATCTCCTGTCACCAGAAACCGATCAATCCGGGAAGAAACCCGACCCCGAGACCACGTAGTCCCCCCCCCTGGCGTAAAGGCATATCCACCAAATGCAACTCATCAACCAAATCAGAGAAATTCTGCATCACACCCGATATATGTCCCCATCGAGATCTTTCACTCGGCCATCTCACCATATTAAAATCACCCCTTACACAACACGAAGACTCCCACCGAAATGCAACACACTCTAACTCCTCCAAAAACATCCGTCACTCCACACCTTGCACCGGCCCATACACCCCTTGTTTAACCTTGCTCTGATACCATGTTAAAATTGATGTATATTGATTGATTGATTACAAGATTTATTGATTACAATTCCTATACAATCTATATATAGAAGAAAATGTGGTAGTAGGTGTAGTGGAGGTGATAGTGGGTTAGGTGAAGTGGAGTGTGTGGTGAAGTGGAGGTAGGTGAAGTGGAGTGTGTAGTGGAGTAGGTGAAGGTGAAGGTAAAGATGGGAAATTCTAACAAAAGGCATATCCACCAAATGCAACTCATCAACCAAATCAGAGAAATTCTGCATCACACCCGATATATGTCCCCATCGAGATCTTTCACTCGGCCATCTCACCATATTAAAATCACCCCTTACACAACACGAAGACTCCCACCGAAATGCAACACACTCTAACTCCTCCAAAAACATCCGTCACTCCACACCTTGCACCGGCCCATACACCCCTTGTAACCGCCCAACGAAAATCATCCACCACACATCTGAATGAGCAGGACACTAAGAACGCCCTAACCTCTGTCTCTTCTCTCACCACCACCCTACTATCCCAACATACCAGAACCCCTCCTGCCACACCTGACGCCGAAAGGAACACCCAATCAATACACCGACCATCCCAAATCTCCTCAATAACATCCCTACCCAGACACTCCGTTTTGGTCTCCTGAATACAAACTACGTTTGCTTTCACACTTCTCAACAATACTCCCACCGCCACACGCTTCCCCCTGTCATTCAACCCACCCACATTCCAGGATAAAAACTTCAATCTCATTTCAACAAAAGTTGTTTCTCCCTCCCATGCTTCACCTTTTTCCTTTGCTCCCCCAAACGACTATCATAATTAATAGAACACTCCAGATTACGCAGCACCCTTTCCCCCTTCTAACGATGAGCCCCATTCCGAACCACTTCCTTTGACGCAACCTCACCGCACCAAGACATCTCTACCGCCGAGAATAATCTCATAGCCTCCGCCTCATGCCCCTCAAATGAAATCCCTAACAACTGACTGACCTCGCTAATTCTCCCCAAAACCCAATTTGAAACCTCCGAAGCTGAAGGCCCTGAAGCCCCAAAGCAATCTCCATCAATAGGCACTCCTCCACCCCACCCATCATGAGACACTGCAAGTGGTTGAAGAAGCCTAAAGTTGGCAACGTCCTCAGTCGCTGACACACCCAGATCATATCATCCGCCAAATCTTCCCACCTTTCTGGCACTTGTGACTGCAAACCAACCATCACTTGTGCCTCTCGTAGCGAAACCACCGCCCAAGCCGCACTATCCTGAGCCTCCTTCGGATAAACTAATGGCTCTCCCTCTGTCTGACTTATCGGCCCCTACAAAAATTGTCCCTCTCTCCCGACAGCCATCATCATCCCCCAACACCAAGTCAACAGCTCCATCTCGATACCCCTCATTCCGATTGACTGGGAACTTGAAAAGCCTATTTGCATGGGCCAGCAGCTGAATCTCCTCCGATGTCCGTTGAGCTCCCTCCCTCCCATCATCTTTCTCAGTCGCCTTGCCTCCACATCCAATCACTACAAACAAAGATTCGAAAACCCTACAAAAAGACAAGTTCAAGTTGGCTTCGACATGATGATGAGTCGGACCTCCCTCAACAGTGGGTCGAATTCGTCGGGCCAAACCTCGTGGATCCAAACCTGGAGGTCCTGTAGGTCTACCCAAAGGCCAACGGCCCCATCGTTGGTTCGGATGTCCAACTGGCCCAAACGGTCTTGCACTGGCCTACCCAAAGCTTTTATTTCCCAGACTGGAATGCCCCAGCCCAGTTAGCCTCCCACCCCTAACATTTTAGCCTAACAACCCAGCCCCCAAACTAGGCTACTACGGCTGTCTTAGTCCCTCAGGCCCAGGCCCAAAACGCATGCCATGACCCATATTCCTCTACCCCAATCTAGGACCCGCTAACCTAGTAAGGTAGTTCCGAGATCGTCGCCCACCATCTTGCTCCACGATTCTTGTGCGAAAATCACAGCCCTGATCTCGCACCATTCTCCTCATCGCTGGCAGCCATTTCCGAAGCCTACCACCTGACGACCACCAAGACTGATGTCGGCCAATCCACCCCCAACCTGGATCGAAACCCTCAAGTACCAAGGCCAAGCCTTCCCAACCTCCATCCATCGTAGGAATGAACATCTGTTGACGACGTTGCCCCAAAGACATGACCACTTGCACCACACGCCCATCCTGCTCTGACCTCAGCCATACTGCCACACTTCGGCTTCCACCCGACACACGACCCAGAAACAGACCACATTCCCCCGATGCCTCTGCCTACCGAAGTCAGCCTACTAACCATCTGATCTCAACCCTATACAGAACTATCTCACTGCGTCAACCCTGTCCTCGTTCCACCACCGACACCGTACGTCGACCCCTGCTACCTGCACCAATATCCTCGAACTCATATGCCCGTGGACCTAAAAACAACCTCCGACAAGGCCTAATTTCCGGCACCAGCAAAGGATGGCCGGTCTCCCTCTCCCTCCATCACGAACATTCTCTCTCATCGCGCCACCTCCCCATTTTATCTTCTTTATTCTGTTTCTATCTCTATCACATCATATCACATATTTTTTCTAAAGAAAATGTAGTGATGAAGGGCTTATCATAGATCAAAGGTGTGCAGAGAACTTGATGAAGAAGATACTAAAAAAAAGAATCATATAATTCACATATTTCAATACCACCTACAGGTCAAGGATCAACTCAAAGAAACTTAAATTGAGTTGTGTATTTGATATTTGAAACTCAAGACTAGGATAAAAATCCTTTTTTCAAAGACTAAAGTGGGGAACGACAAACTCACCCAAATGGACGGGCAACGATTATCTTAAGAAGGCACAACCAGTACAAATTAAATGTCGGTATGACACCCAATTTTAAGAGTATTCCAATGCAGTTAATAGCGGCTCAAAGAATTGGCATTCACTTCTCCCAAATGCAATTGCCTTTTAAAACATGCTACTAAAGATGGCAAAGAATATCAGTCAGAAACCACTGAACTGATTAGCTTCTGAATAAATTACTTATTACAATCACGTTGACAAAAGTTTGTTACTTGCAGATGGGAACTCTTTTGTTTGTAGCATATGCTTCAAAAGTACTTGTCCATTTAAATGCATAAAAACATGAGAGCAAGTAAATGCCCATATATTCATACAATCACCAAATGGTTCTATTGCTGTTATGTAGGAAATAAATTAGATATTTAATTTCTTACCAGTGCTGGAAAAGCACCTATAGCCTGTAAGACTGTACGCATGAACAACAAGGGAAGAGGAATCTGCTCAACCTGCATGAATAATCTTGGTTAGCTGTGAATTCGGCACCTGCAACAACATCCAGTCAATAAGAAAATGGTTACAGGTTGCAGGTGCTACTGACCAATTGATTCAAGACCTTTGCAAGAACTTGTTGGGTGAATATCTGCCTTTGCTCAAAACAAGCATTACATGCATCAGTGACCTGCTTCAATAATTAAATTCCTTAGTTGCAGAAATGAGTGCATAATGGAAAGAAAAAAGGGAAATGAAAGAAAAAGAGCATATGCCTTCTTCAAAGGAATTCCGTCTCTGTCAGGATCAATCCCGTGGATAGCAATTAACACTTCAGCAGGCAAGATCAATGGACCAGATTGAGAAGAACCCTAAATAATAATGTTTCAACAAATGTTAGACTTAAAACACAAATGTTAGAGAAGCAACAATGTAGATTGATTACCTTTATACAATAAAATTAGGATTCAGACAGATTAAACAAAGAAAAAAATAAAAATAAAAATAAAAAAAGGATGTAAATAGATCAGCTACCAAACTATAACCACATCTGTGCCTCCATACTTAAAACAAGTTTTCCTGGATCAAAATGTTCCTCGTGGAAAATGCATATCAAATGAGCAAATGAGTTCTTCAAAATAAAAAATGTGAAAACAATCATAGAATGATGACATAAAGTATTAACATAGGCATTTGGCTGCAGATGAGAAATGCACAGCTGACAAAGGGGTGCCCAAGCATTAGTAATTGGGGTGAAAGATTGAAATAGTTTACTAATTAAAAATTCAGATTGAAAAACAAAACAAGGCTCAGCAATAAATCATCAAATAGATTAAAAAAATAATTTTAATTATTTTTCATTCAAAAGGCTTGATGGTAGCAATTCAAATGCATTTCATCTTGTTCACAAGTATTTTTTACAGTAGTATATACCTCAATCAGGCAGTCATAAGACAAGTTCTCAATCAGAAAATAACACAGCCAATTGTAAGAACACCACAATTTTAACATATGCATTAAACATATTGATAGTACCGTGATGAATGTGCTAATCAAACAATGACAACAATGTAAAAACAACACCCAGATTGAGGAGCTCCATGGGAAGAAGGATACCTGCAAAACACGAGCAAGTGCAGCTTGGAACTTATCTAAGGGGAGATTAACAAGATGTGGAAAAATCCGCAAAACCTGACAACAAGCAATGATCACGAGGAAGAAGATCAGACCAAAACTAATAAACATATGCATAAATTAATGATGAAAGTGCATATAGGAATAACGGGAGGGCTTAGGCAGGAGGACAAGGAACAAAAAAGTAGAACATGCGTTGACAGTAAAATCAACTGCTTGCTTACAATTAAGACTTCTTACACCAATGAACCAAAACTGTGAATATAAGGGAAGTTGTTGACTAATATATATACATATATACAAAACAGGAAGTCATGGAATGTAGAGGCCTACATGCTCCAGAATTGGATGTCTAGATTCCAGAAACAAAACTAGTTATTTAAGAGGTATAATGCTTACGATATATTCACAAGTATATTAACTTATCAATACCATGGTGGTTATACTGAAGGAGCACACTGCCACTGCAGTTATCCTGCATGCATCATTGTGAACTGTGTTACACCTTGCCCGCTCAGGTGCCTAGGCCAAGAGGCAGGACCTAGAATGTGAACCTTTAGGTTTCAACAGACATGGGTAAGGTCCATGTGTTCAGTGTTAACCGCACCACACAGAAGGGCACACCGGCATATTGCTTATTTGCATATGCCCAAGTCTCAAGACTTACTTTGATACAATTTATCAATACCACAGACATTATACTGCCAGAACACATTACCATGACAGTTATACCGTGTCCATCATGGTCAACTATGTTACACTATGTTGCTCAAGTGCATACGTCATGAGGCAGGACCAAGGTTATACAGATAACAATCATACACAGGATTCGAACAAAAACAAAGAATAACAATGCAGAAATGAAGAGCAGGGAAGATGGATATAAAACCTCATCTTTTGGTAAATATGACAATATTGGAATTAGAACCTCTACATCCTGCAATGAAACAAAATTACAAATAAATTTAGCCAAAGCCTCGTCATGTATTCAATTTCATGAAATATCTTACCCTACCTTTACTTTTGTATCATATAACTTTCTAATGGTCAATATTAATTCTGGAGAAGGAATGATCCCATCTGTCAGTGTATGCAAAACCTGTTGAAAGATCAGCAAATTGGTGATATAATTTCTTCAATCTTGTGCAAGTGCGACATAAAATATAAAATTATAATTACCTGCATCAAAAGGCTCTCGCTTCCAGTTGGTGGGTCTGAAATAATTTCAAGAAATTCAGATGATGAACCAATAGTGCGAACTAGTATTGGGATTTGCCGATGAACTGCCTGCATTATGCAGCTGATTAGAAGAACAATCTACTGGTAGGAATGGTGAAAGTTATATCAATCATGGTATGACCAGCACAGTAAAAATTAATCAAACCTGCTTTACTGCATTTGACGTGCTTTTATAGACAACAAATATCTCGCGAAAAAGGGAGTGCTTCTGTAATCAGCACACGCCACTAAGTTATCCAGTGAAGTATCTAGAATTGGTTTAACAAAAGCACAATACATTGAAGTTGACCAACAGCAAAAGAAAATATCTAAAATAAAATAAATCAACACCTTTGTACACAGGGCAAAATAGAGCGACATGCAACGCTGTGCCTCCATTAATGAAGAAGATGATAAATTCGGAGATACGCATGACTGAGAAGTATCAGAGGAGATATCTTTGGTGACGGCACCCACTGATAGTTGTTCAGTTGAAGGTTTGTCCAAGTCCTGAATAAAATCACAATGACAAGTCCACAATCATGTTTTCGATACTAAATACATGATATGCAGGCAGAGCATCAAAACCCAAAAGAAACGCCAGTCTGCACATCATTCAGGATGTATATCATTCAATTAGTGAAAAAGGAAAAAACCAGTCTGAATTCAATTTTCTGAAAAATGAGTTTTTTTTATTTTCCATTTTTTTTTTCACTGAATTTTCATGTGTTTTTTTTTTCACTGAATTTTTTTTAATATTTTAAATAATTTTTTTAGTTTTGTAGACACACTTAATATAAATACCATTAAAAAGTGTAATATTTGTGAAAAAAATATTTAAAAAATTCACTATATACCAAAAATAAATATATATATATATATATATATAAATTTAGTACATTTTCGTATTCTTGTATACTTGTTGATTTTTTTAAATATTTTTTCAAATATTTTACTTTTAGGTACATCTAGGTTAGGTGTATCTAAAAAATAAATAAATAAAAAATTGCTTAAAATATTAAAAAAAATTCAATTAAAAAAAAACTCAATTTTTAAAAAATTAAATTCAGAAAATTAGAACCAAACAAGGTTATAGGATTCAGCCTCTCACAAGGCATTTGAAGAACAGTTGTAAGAGCATGGAATTGCATGGGGTGACACTTTCAAACTACATTTCTCTCTACTATTCTGTACTCTTAATTGAATCGCTACCATACAGCAGAGATTTCTTACTGCTATTGATTCTATTATCGAGTGTAGAGAAGAAAACACTTAATTTGGACATAGGACTTCATTTTGGATGAATAGATTTAGGCTATAGCATACATTAAATTCTTAAATAGGAATACTGATAAAAATCCATATTTTAGTTATCTGTCATGTGTCAATTGGTCCAACCCAAATCTATATAGTATACCATGGCAGTAAAATATCTCCAATATTCCTGACAATTAAAAGCCTCACATTATTGTATGATGTAAAAGTGTTAAAATGAATAGTTACTGGCATAAACATTCTTTGGAAGAAGCGAAAAGGAAAGCAAATGTTTGTTCCTTCACATTAGTTTATGGAAGCCATAACGGAAAAGTGCAGAATATTTGTATATTAAGTAACAAGATGATATTATGACATCATTTCTCATTTTTTATTAATTGATTTATTATAGAATTTCTTCCCTTAAGAGTTTTTGCACACAATATTTTATCTTTCAATATGCAAAACTAAATTATTATCATTTAAACCAGAGCAGGAACACATCAAGATAGAACAGAAACCACAAAGTGGAATTTGAATCAACAGAATACCTTCTGTAATTCCGTTCTGTCACCATCAATTCTGTCCATTGTATCATCACCATTACTTACAGAGTGCAGCATTTCCTTTGCAAACTCTTCTATTTGTTGGGCGATGGCTGATAAAGGATAGAGCTTGTTTGCCACCTGTAAAAAGATAGAACACCGAAATTAGATGAAATAAAATACGGGAGGTTAATTTTACTAATTTATGAGCAAGTTGTAGAAAGAATACCAGGCGTATTGCCTTCATACGTACTTCCTCCAAATGATGAACTGCACTCTTTTTCCGGAGGTTAAAGAAGGTACAGAAGTTAGACCATGGAATAACAAAGGGAAATTTCCATTTGGATAGTAACTAGAAAATCTAATGAATTGCAAATGCATCCAACTAGGATAACAATAGTAAAATGAAAAAGAAATGCAAAAGGGTTTTATAATCATGAAAATTACACATTCTCTTGTGCTAGCCAAACAAAAATAAGGGGCCAGATAAGAACTAATCATGTTAGCTGTTGTCATCTTCCTTCTCTACATCCTCCATGTTTCTACCTGCAGGACTCTCCCTACTTAGGTGACGTTTCTTATTGAGAAATGCGTTTCTGGGCTCCTAATTAAGAAACTCGCTCCCGTCGAGATAGAAACTCGCTCCCAACTAAGTTAGAAACTCTTAGACACGCAAATCTCAAACAAACAAAAGAAAAATAATTTAAACTTATTATAGTACTTTCTATTTGCATAATATTTATGTATACTTGATAAAGACAATTCGTAGGCAACATCAATCTCAGATATTTATTCATATTTTAATAGGTATTATATATATATGATATACACGCTTCCACAAGCGCTCCCAACCTTAGAAACTTCAATAATATGCCCTCGCTCCCCTGCCCCCGCTTCGTGCAACTAAGGTTTCTACACCTAATTTTTTACATCAGAAACTCCAATATACTTCAAAATGTTGAATTTGCAATCTAAACTTCAGTCTTGGAGTAATCGGTGGCTCTAGTTATGACATTTCTCATCCATTATAGCATCACATATAACAACAAACTCCAATGAGAGTTTATGTTCATAGGCAGAGGAACTTCTGCATAACTATGTAGGAAATTTCACACACACTCCTCAACTTGTTTAATAAATAATCTTCTCATCGATAAGGAAAACTTATCACCAATTTAAGTGTTCAATTAAGAGAGAAAAAATCCACTATATGACATGTTAAAATATTTCAATCAAATCTACCTACTAACCAAAAACATAAGAAGTCAAAACATATACCCATAGAGAAAAACATACAATAATGAGTGACAAGGACAGAAATGAGAAAAAAAGGAAGTCCATAATACCATTCAAAGCCGACATCAGTACTGCATTCAACCAAAAATAAAATAAAATAAAAAGAATAGACAAAAGAATAAAATTCTAGAATATAGAGAAAGAAACCTGTAAAGCAATTTTCAAACAGACATCTCGAATAGGTGGCCGCAGCAAAATCAGACTCCACACAGCACTGAGACCTTGAGTAACTCTATCTCCACTAGGTAACTCCTCATCTTTATCACTGCTTCCAGGAGAACACAAGCGCTCTAAGAGATTAAAGATAGACTTTGGTAGATAAGGAGCTTCACCAAGCAATCTACTTAAAGATTTGTCAGAAGCTGGAAAAGAATCTCTAAGTGCTTCTGCCTGCATTAAAAAGAAAATCACTAAAATATTTGCCTTGCAGCAGGATAAGTGACTGCAAAAATAGTAAAAAAAAAAGGATCCATACCACAGTCAGAATAAACATTTCATATACAGATGTAGCTGTTGACGAGGAAAAGAAATCTCGTTCTTCTGCTTCACCAAACAACTTGTAGAGGACGCGCAGGGTCAACTCGTGTCCCTGAAGACATCCAGTAACTATTGTCAGTTTGTACACTATTCAATGACAAATTAAGAGTATGAGTAATGCCAAAATTCCTTTTTATTTATAAGCATTTTTACTACAGAAAAAACTGAACTATCACTTCAACTACAGGAGTTTTCCCTCAGAAAACTAAATGCATAAAGCTGAGCCACAGAAAACCCATTGAAAGATAAGTCCACAAGCAGTTCTAGCAAAACAAACTGAACAGGAAGAAACAAAAAAACCTAATCTAACAGTTCTTTATTTTATTTTACTCTATCTTTTCATCCAATTTGTCGAGGGAAACAATACAAGTGCACATATAAATGGTAAAAGAGGTATTATCCACCAACCAACAAAACAGAGTGATTTTAAATTATAAAATAAACTCAAAACATTCACTTACCTCGTGATTCATGTAATCCGACAATACATGCTTTTGTAGTATTTTCCATGGGTCTAACTCCAGGGGAAACTGCATTTTAGAATAAGCGTTAAGTTCATATGAAATATTGTAATAAAAAACCCTCCTACAATTGACTAAAGTTGGGTGCATTTGATAAAGAAAGCCATTTACTGCCGATTTTTGCAGTTTATAAACGTGTACAAAACTCAAAGAAATGATCGTACACCATATTAACATTGGAAACAACAAATTGGGCACGAACATGAGGAAATACAGATCAAATGGATGTTGAGAATAGAAGACAAGAGGAATGTGTTTCTGGAGTTCAGTAATACCAAACAACTTCAAAAAAAAACCCCATAAAAAGGCTATAGCCTATAAGACCATCTATGCTGCTGCAGAATTTGTTACTGCCAAACAATTTCTTGGCAGTTACCAATGTCAGTGCCTAGTGAGAACTGGGGCACGGACAGGTGCAGTTGCAAGAGCACAGAAGTTCTCACCCTTTCAAGGTTTAGAGGTCTACAGCATGCCTTAGCACTCCCTATTTTCATCCTTCCAGAGATTTTCTGAGTTTTATATATCACAATTATTCAAAAATATTTCCTTTCTCCCTATCCTCTAAGCTCCTAGTGGAACTTTACATTGCTGCACAATAACCCGATTTTTTTATCGAGGACTAGTATTTTTATCCATTACTCTAGCTGTATGCCTACTGTAAAAGGGAATAATTGCTAATGCTTGAAGAAAATAAAGATGAAAATATTACACGAACTAGAACACAACACCACTAGTAATTGACAAAAGGGGTGTCAATATCTTCAGGGATTTCAAAAGGATCCCTTTTCATAAAGCAAGTGTCTTCTCAGCTGATGCTGTCTTACGCTGTCCCACATTCTAAGATTAGATAAACAGAAGAAAGGCAATCTTCGAGTTATAACTTCAAATGTACTAAACTTCTACACCTGATAAGAAACACAGGTAAATTCTACCATACCAAAAAGATGCAGTCACTACTGTAACAACTGCCTTACACATTAGGTTGTACGGAAATCACAAGAATATGACACCAAGAAAGACAGCACAACATCAAGCAATTATTAACAAGAGCGTAACTTAACATGTAATGGCAACATCAAGCACATTACAGCAAGCACTACAAGAAGATAATTATAACCAAATGAAGTTGGGGTTGTTACCTCAACTCCTAAATATGCAAGTAAAGAAAAGTGGACATGTGAACCTCCGGCATCTGCTATTTGCTTATAAGCCTCCACAATGCGTGTAAAAGCCAATTTTTGCAATTGATCCTTCTCTTCATCAGCAAGGTTGATAACAGGGGCCGACATCTTGGGCAAGATGAATTGAGTAGACAATCCAACAGAAGTCACTGTTAAGGAGTTTCTACTGCTTACATCCGTGACAGCTGCTTTGGGGCTAAGTTCCTCAGACCTATCAGTTGATATCGATGGAACTAATTCCATTACTGAACTACCCAAACTAGTGCCTTGCTCCTGACTGGCATCTTCTAAATCCGTCGGTGCCAATGATGAAACGATGGGTGTTTCAGCCAATCCAACACTGTGAACAGCTGAATCCAGACCAGGTATCTCACCCCCTAGATTCCCAACATCAGGGACTTCAGGTGGAAGAGCTGAAAAGCCATCCTCCGTTGAAGATGGAACTTCATCAGGAGAAGAAACTGGTAGAGATACCAATCCTTGTTCAATTCCATAATTTACACCAGCAGATGATGCATCATTATCCTCCTCCCCTTGAGTATCCTGCAAGTTCAAGTAGATTTAAGCCACTCAATTTGCACAAAAATCAGAACCCAGAATTTTAGGCAAAGCCATAAAGAGAAACAAACTTAAAAGACACACAAAAAGCTGAAATTTGACTGACTTATTACATTAGGACCGCAGAAAACTAAAAAATCAATTGAGAATTTAAAGAATAGAAAATCATACCTCAATATCATGGGATGAAGATCGTTGGGCATCTGACACAGAATCCATCTGCATAGGAGTGCTGGACATAGAAAGCATCTCTGCCAAAATAGCCGAAAGATGTTTGAATTGGGTATCACAACTAACAATATTTGGAAAAGAACCCATGTTTGGCAATGGTTCTTCATCCCCTTCTGCTTTAGGGCGATTGGGAGGAAGGTGTCGCATATTAGCCATTACTACTTCAGCTAAAAGGTCAGCAGAGATACTAGAAATGAGAATCTCTAATGGACCAATAGCTTTCTCACCCTGAGCAACCAATGTACCAAACATGGCAACGAGTTGTTGCACAGGTCCATTATCTACATCTCTGGATGTTGTGACTCCACTAGAGGGAATGTCATCCCGATCCCTATCTTTCTCTGATCCCTCTGAAACAATAGGTGTTGGTCTGATACGTTTTCCAGACACATCATCATCTTCAACCGAATCACCAACATCTTGTACTCCAGGTCTTTTCCTTCTGGCACTACCATGCACAGCATCATGTCCTTTAATTGAAGGCTTCTCCTCCTGAGGAAACTCAACAATTATCAAGTAGCTCCAGGCTTACTTGGGTATCCATGCATACTAAACGCATATGCATACCAGTGTCAACAAATGGATAGGATTTATGTAATAAAACAAAAGAAGGTATGCCATGTGGATAATACCAGAGTAATTGGTGAATCATCCTTCCCCTCTACACTTCCATTGATCTGGCAAACTTGGAGAAGAGCTTGTTCCACTAACCCCCCAGCTTTCAGGTCTCTCAGTGCACCAGCTAAACGATCCTGCCACTAAAGAAACCAAAAACAAAAGTATAAATGATCATGTAAAGTAAAGCACATCTTACATTACAAAAAATAAGTGACCTTTGTTTGGTTGTGGCTAAAAAGTAAAAAGTCAGCTTATTAAAGCCCATTTTGCTAACAAAAAAAGCCTTTAGCTCATTTGGCAAATCCATTTCCTGCCAAAAAAACCCGCTTTAGTCAATCTAAAAAATCATTAGGAAAGCCAAAAAACTAAGAATGTGCCAAACAAACGAGCTTTTTTAGTAGTAGCTTTATTGTATGTTTATTTTTAGCTAATAAGCCAACTTTTTAATTAACTCTCAAAGGAAGCCTAATTACTTTACTTAAGACTAATCAATAGTGCCACAATGATCACATTTATATGCTATAAAGTATTTATCATTAAAGGGCTCCACCACTCGTTTTTGTTACCAACGTAGTGATAACACATGAAATGATAAACCCTTTATGGTACATAAATGTCATCATTGTAGCATTATTGAAAACTAATATCACTACAACAAGAATTTTAAATTAACATAACATTTTAAATATTAAAAAAAAACAAAACAAAACAAAACAAAACAAAAACTTGGATATGTGTTGATGGAATTGATGAAGGTTAACTCGAATAGATCTGAATAAAACCGACTTATGTGCATCACTTACCTCGGCCCCTTCAAAGGTGATTCTTGGGCCTGCCACTGTTTATAATGCAATTATTACATGAATGATATCTTGATGTTTAACTTGTGAAATATATGACTTTTAAAATTTTAATTAGTATTATATTATTTTTTTTCATTACTTTTGAATAAACTATTTGTATACTTGGCATATAATAAATTTATAAAACTACTCCCTCCATCCCAATTTATTTGTGGGAAATCCAACTTATTAAGGAGACAAAGTAATCATTACACATCAATTCAAAATTTAAAATACTTTTACCATAATACCCTTTGATTTTGAATTTTAAAATGTGTTTGTACTTGTGTATAATGGGTAATTTTGGAAATCTAAAAAATTTCAATACCCAAAATAGAAAGTGGACAAATATTTTGAGACCGACCAAAATGGAAAGGTGGACAAAAAAATGGGACGGAGGGAGTACTGTAGGTGTAGGTGTAGTGGGTTAGGTTTAGTGGAGTAGGTGAGGTGGTAGTGGTGGTAGGTTTATTGATAAATTTTAACAACATTCAACTCAAAAAATCGATTCCGTGCTCTTACATGAGAAACTTGCTCCCGTTGAGGAAGAAACCCACTCCCAAATGAGATAGAACCTCTCAAACGTACAAATCTCAACAAAACAAAACAAACAAACAAAAACTCAAATATATTTTTATTCATGTTTTAACACATATTACAACTAAACAATAATAATGCTAATATAAATTTATTAGAACATATTTATATATTTAAATATCTACATGCACCCATAGACACTCCCAATCTTAAAAACTCCTTTGTGCCCTCACTCTAGCCCTCGCCCCCACTTCGTGCAACTAAAGTCGTGCACTTTTTGAAAGTTGTCATGTTGGTGTGCCATGTGTCGCATGTCAATGATGCTTATGCCCTAGCTCCCTAAAATGAATGCACGGTATTTCAAGAGGATTAAAGGACAGCCAATTTGTTAACTTATCAAAAAATTGGACATCCAATTTGATAGAAATCTATTAATGTGGTCAATCCAAATTACCAAAATAAGGAATCGTTAATGGGCATCCAATTTGTTAACTTATGCATATCATCTCATGTTTAATGGACAACCACTTATTTCCAGGCATGTCATCTCGTGTCATAAAAAATATAAATAAAAATAAATTATATGTGCAATCATTATATTACCTATAATTATTATAAATTTCAATAAAGCAAACAATATAGAAGTCAAAAAATATATATTTTAACAATAGCCAGCTTAAACAGAAAACAAAAAACATGAAACGATTGAGAAATTGCATGATTATTTCCAGACAAAAGCACGTTAATCATAAAGCTAAGAGAAAAGGCGAGGCCTTAAAATTTTCCTGAAGTTACACATCATAAAATATACTTTCAACAAACAACAAGGGAGATAAATACCGGTGCAGCGCCCGGGTGTGTACATTTCAAGCAGCAGAGGAAAGCATTCTTTAAAGCATGATGCACCCCAGAAACACACACCCCTTTGTTGACAAAGCCCGAAGGATCGAAACCTAGTAAGACTGGCAGAATGCGACCATAAAAGGCAGGCCTTTTTCTTGCAATTGCAGAAAGACTGGTAAGAACCATAAAATGAAGTGAATGGTGAGCAAACTATACTGCATTAGCTGGTCTATAACAAAAGTCATTTACAACTAAAAACAAATAAATTACTTATAAAATAAGAAAGAAATATTCGTTCATGAGATTATAGAGATAAATAAATAAATCAACACCCCATGGTCATGACATTTAGGTAAGAAGTTCTTTGGCAATTGCTAAAAATTTTACGGTATCAATATATGTAACCGAGAGAAAGTGGATGAGTCAACAAGCCAAGTTTCAACAATTGCCCACTAAGGAACAATAGGAAATATAGGGTCACCAGAGAAAATGGCGACATACAATTGCTTTCATGTATCATGGGAATACAGTACATAATAAGGTACGGTTGGCAGTTTTTAAGGGTAAAAAAGCAGATTCCTAGAGTTAAGAAAAAGAATGTGGAAGAGAACCGTCTGATATGCCCAAATAAGAGCACGAGTATGACAATTACTACAAAAGAAAAACATATAGGGCTAATTTCGGCAATGGCAATAATATGGGAAAGGAACCCATTCAATTACTGCAATAATTTGAGAAAAAATTGCATACGCTTATGATAATGAAAGACCACATAGTACATACCTATTGATGAGCACAATGATCATAGAGTTACTAAGAGACTTCACTGTTGGGAACCGAAGCTGATCAAGCAATAGACCCAGACCTTGACTTGCTTCAATTGATAAATCTCCAACATTGAGTACAGGATGACCTCCACGAAGCCATGATATATTAAACTCTGGAAACTTTCCTAAAATGATCGAGCAGTTGAGAATCATAAAAAGATCATTTAAGTGGTGCAAATAACATAAATAAAATATAATAGTATAACACTTAAAGCCTATAATGTCAATGGATGTAGCATTACCTTCAAAGGCTTGATGAGGAGGTGGCTCTGAAGAGCCACTAGGATCGGGAGTATAAAGAAGAATAACTGCTTCAACAAACTTCAGCGCTAGCAACCTTGTCCCATCACTCCCAGGCTTGGAATCATGTGGTGAAAAAGAATCAGACCATGCACAAAATCTAAATAAGTGCACCATGTGATTAGAATCATTGCTTACCTGGAAAGCTATCAAGTATATTTCATCCCTGAACTTTAGCACCCATGCCCATGATGATTCAAGTGAATTGTCCAACTCACTAGAGTACAAACCCTGGAAATTACAGAACTGAGTATACAAAATTTTTCAGTTTTAACAAAAAATAAAAATATATTATACTAAAGGGTAGTTTGGAAAGTACACAAGTGATGAAGCAATAGGTGGTGTTCAAGGACACATCATACCAGTTAGTTGCTGCAATAAACCTTATTCATATTTGAAGAAAAGATCAACTATTAGACTAGGATTTACAAATGTCAGTTGGTTGCTTCTGTTGCCCATGCAAGTCAGATTGAGTGATGTCCAAAAGAAAGTACACAAGTGATGATGAAGCAATAGGTGGTGTTCAAGGACACATCATACCAGTTAGTTGCTGCAATAAACCTTATTCATATTTGAAGAAAAGATCAACTATTAGACTAGGATTTACAAATGTCAGTTGGTTGCTTCTGTTGCCCATGCAAGTCAGATTGAGTGATGTCCAAAAGATACAGTCAGTGCAAGCCAAACCAATGTAGACTTTGTCTAATGTATTCAAGAGAACTTGGGAGCACTTAAGCCTATCTAAGTAAGACAAGCTCAAACAAGAATGGTTGAACAAGCCCAAAACTATCCACAGGTCAATAGAGACTTGGGTGATGCACTATGAATCAATGACACTTGCGCCCTAGCAAAATAAGAAGTTTATCTATTCGAATAAGCTAAGACACACTTATGCACCAGTAAGGTTAACTATAGACATTGATAATCCTTGACAGCAATCCAATCTCATAGGTAAAATGTAGATGTGGTTCATTATACTTTCAGTAGCTATTGCAGTTGCACAAATGCAGAAAATAAACTTTCAGAGATATCAACCAAACAGGCAAGTAAATATGTGTCGAATACCCAACCCACATAATAGATAGTGGGTTAGGTTTAGTGGAGTAGGTGAGGTGGTAGCGGTGTAGTGGGTTAGGTTTAGTGGAGTAGGTTTAAGTGGGTGAAGTAGGTGGAGAGTAGGTGGATTTTAACATACCTGAATTGCAACTTTTACAAGAGTGGAACGAAATAGATCAATTCCACAAGTGATGGCTTGTCGAGCAACAGCTGGCGTTCCATCTTTTAATACAGTTATCAAAACAGGTATAATGTCAGGTATGAATTCCATATGCTTCAATCCTATATCACCAATCATCCTACATTAAAAGACACATAATCAAATGAGGCATACTCAGTTTTGGATCAGATGAGGGGGAGGGGTAGCAAACTTTGAAAATTAGTAATAATACATTACCATCTCACCAAAGTATGTGTATAACATTACAACAATACAAACAGAAGTATGAGTTGTTGATATTTACTTATCCAAAAAGATAATAGAAAGAAAAAGAATTGTGGGGAAATTACAACCAAAAAAAAAAAAAAATCCAAGTAAAAATAAACCATGACTTTTTAATTGTGTCAATTTAAACCGTAACCTTTTTATTTGTATTTAAAGTTTTCAATTTTAAGCATTTGCTTATTTTTATTAAGTAAAACTGGTGGGAAAAAAAGATATTTTAGCCATAGATGTACATAAAATGTCTAAAATATCCTTTTTCATTGAGTTTAATAACTAAATTACGTTTTTTTTTTTTTTTTTCGACTTTACTTAAGCTATGTTTGGTTGGTAAATTTGTGGAGGGATTTGGAAAAAGAAAAGTTAGGTGAAATGTGAACAAAATATACCAACATTTCACCTGATTTCACACACATTTTCTCTTTTCCTTCCCAAATCTCCAAACCAAACAACGCGTTAAGAAAATAAGAGGTGGTTTGGGATGTTCTAAATAAGTACACTTTTTGACTTTTTATGAAATATGGGTTGGGTATAGGTTGGATTTGAAGCAAGGTTTTAAAAAGCGGCCGCAACCGCTACGTAACGCCGTTACGTAACGGTTGTGGTAGTTACCGCCACCCGTTACGGCCGCTTTTGCAGTGTGATTGAAATTTATAGGTGTATTAGCCGTAGTGGCTGCTATAGCGGTCGTAACGGTGTCGTAACGACCATAACGGCTTGTTACGCACCGTTACATAACGATTCCGAATTGCTTCTTTCAAAAAAACATTAAAAAAAAAAAAAATTGAAAATGGAGGAAAAGAGATAGAGAGAGAAGAGGGAAGATGGAGGAACAAGAGATAGAGAGAGAGAATAGGGAAGATGAAGAACATGTTATTGATTTGTTGAAGTTGTGAGACCTGTGTTATTCTATTCAGCTATTATCACTCAACCATTTTGTCTGTGTGTCTATTTATATATTGTTTAAAAATAATAATAATAATAATAAGTGTGGTCATTATCTATTTGGCTTGATTAATATATATATATTTAGACTTTTATTTATTCTCTTACTTTTGTCATTGTTTATCTTATATATAGTTAGTGATTATTTTTTGTAAAATATAAAGTCATTAATTATTAAAATAAAATATAAAAAACTCAGTTTATAGTGATTTAAAAATATGAAATATATTGATCAAACTTAAAAATTTATAAAAATTGATCAATATTTATTTTAAAACCCAATAAATATGATCATGGAAAAAAAATGTGCGTATCGGTAAGTTTTTTTCAAATTGTGCAAAAAATAAAAAAATTCACGATTTCGATTACCGCAACCGTTACGCTACGGCCTTTACACCCGCAACCGCAACCGCCCCACCGCCACCATTACGGCGACCGCAACCGCTTTTCAGAACCTTGATTTGAAGTGATGTGGTAGAGAGGTGATGTGACTTAAATAAGACGATGTGACTTAAATAAGATAGTGACTTTTTGACTTTTTGGCAAGGCCTACGTAAATGATTTAGATTGAAAACAAATCAAAATAGTAGAATTTAAATTGACAAAATAAAACTCATACTTTATTTTGTCATAATGATCAAACCTTTTTTTTATTTAAATCCCAAGAATCCCCATTTGGGAAGGGACTAAAATAGCCTATCAAATCATACTCTGTAGTTTCCTACACACTTTTGTAAAGAGCCCAAAACTCACTAACATAGCTTATTTCCAAATGAGACCGAGTAAAGGTAATTAATAAACAGTATATATTGGTGGAAAATATACACCACTTTCTTGTATTTACTTAGGCTGTGTTTGGTTCAAGTATTTGGAGATAAATTTGAAAAAGGAAAAACACACATTTTCCTTTTCATTTTTCCTTTCTCTTTCCAAATCCTTTTCCAAATTCTTGAACCAAACACAGCCTGGAAACCAGTAGAGTATAGATATTAGCCCTGTTTAGTAGGGCTTATTTCTAACTTATTTCAGTTTTTAGCTTAATTTAAGCTATTTTGATATATTTTGTTCAGCTTAATAATACAGCTTATAACTTTTTGTAAGTCAAAAATCAACTTATTCTTTGAGTGGAGGAGAAAAAACTTAATTTATAAGTCAAAAATCAGCTTATGTTCATAGTTATAAGTTATAAGCTATTAGGCTATAAGTTATAATCACTTTCCCACAGCTCTACCAAACGGGTCATTAAGGCTAAGTTTGGCATCATCAAAAAAATTCAAAAAGTCGCTATCCTATTTAAGTCACATCATCTTATTTAAGTCACCTATCTACCACATCACTCCAAAAACGACCCATATTTCATAAAAAGTAAAAAATTACGCTTATTTAGAACATTCCAACAACCCCTAAGGCCAGTTTATCGTTTTCACTTCTTAAATGCAATTTCTTGCTTCAATGCAACATTGCAGCTCCTTTGGCCATTCTTCGTCCCCACACACACACACCCACAAAACAATTTTTTTTTAATAGCAAGATGACAGAATCAAAAAAACAAAAGTCGCAGCTCTGAACCCATGCTCACTTCCACAACAACATGATACATATGAACATGAATTACCGAATTGTGTGTGTATATATATACATATGCAATTATTGGAGTTAAGAGGTCGTACTTTGTGACAAACTTGCGAACAGGACTGAATTGATCGGAGTGGAGATCGAGGAGGGAAGGGAGGAACTCGGAGAGCAAAACAGAGTCGGCCTGAGACAAGTCGTCCTTCAATTGACGAAGTTGTTCGAGCTTCGAAGGTATGTCAATGGCGAACTTGGCCGAGTTCATGAGTCTCGCCACATTTTCCCTTGAAGTCGTCGCCATGATTCCCACCATTGCAAATCCCCCAAAAAGAAAACCCTAATTGTTGAGGAGCTTCACGGTGGTGTCATGAGATGGAATGAGAAAAACATTGAGAGATTCGAAAAGGGTTTTGGGGGTAATTGATAAAACGACTAATGAGAGACAGAGAGAAAGGGAGTCTAATAAGCATCAAACAGGCTAAATAGTTCGCCGGAACACGACTGGTACACGAAAAGGTCGTGTTTTTTTAACCAGTTTAGTTGCGTTGTTGTACTCTGTAAATACTAATTTCCCAATCTTTCCGATGTAACTTAACCCCCCATCCCAAAAAAAATAAATAAAACAAAACAAAGCAAAAAAGAAAATTTTCACTTTACCCCCATGATTTTGGTCATATGTAAATTATCCCTTAACATTCAAATATGATTACATAATTCTCCTGTCATTCACGAAATAATGTACAAAGTTAGATTTTTCATCAATTCTAACAAGATGTATAGTACACGTGAGTGTGGTCAATTGGATATAAACTGATGATATTTCCTCACAATTAAAAGACCAAAATGTCTCTAGACTTACAAATAAAAGCTAACCCAAGAATATTGCTTTTTATACTGCCTCCTTACTTTATATGTTGAGTTACAGGCTAGTCTATCCAACAAAAATGCCATCTTCAAACATTGGCGGTAGAGAATGACAAATGTTGAGGTTCATGAGCAAGAAATGTTATTGTGGAAAAAAAAAGTCATTAGAATGTGAAGTCGGAGAAGCCTTCAAAAGGTAGGTTGTACTATGTTTGTGAAAAGACGGGTTTAGGGGGTTGTGATTTCTGGACTTGGTGCAACCCGGTTGGATATGCGTCCACCTATGGAAGAGATGAGATTGATAATGAGAAACCAAGAGTTGAGGAAGGCGTGCACTTTAATGGAAGACTAGTAAAGCTAGAGATGAAGATGGAGGCACTGAACATGATGATGAAGACATCTATGGTGGTTTTGCTTGTGTGTTTCATCTCCACCATGTTAATGTTCAGTATGAAATGAATTTATAAGAATTTGTAAGGTACTTTATGTACTTGATGTATGTTTGAAAGTAATGAAATTATATTTATGAAATTTGTGACTTTTGTATGTTTTTTTTTACTGCAATATGAAAATGCTTGAAAATGCATTAAAAAATATTCCAACACAAACCCTGTTGAGTTTAATTGAAAAAAAAAATCAAAAAATTCTAAATTTTTTTTACTACTTTCCAATGCAAAAAATACAATCAACATTAAAATGATTCTAACACAAACAAACTGACTGTATACTTGAAGCAATGGTAACCCTGTTGAGTTGATTTGCAAAACAAAAGGCCTCATTTCAAATCAATGCACTTGAAGCAATGGGGCAAAAATGACAAAAAAAAAAATAAAAACTAAGATTGACAATGCTATTCAATGCCAATCCATTTACAGAAGTATACTGCATTTAAATACCAGACTTAAATACAAACACAACACTTAAATACATCAATATTTTCCATACAAAAACAAAAATCATTGTCAAAAACCATAACTCTAAATGTGTGTCTATCTTTCTTTAGCTTAAAGACAAACACAATACATTCCACAATATTGTTTCAACACAAAAACATAAATAATAAAAGGTAACCCTATAGTCTACTTTGAACCAGTTGCCAGTTATTTGGCATGCCTCATTGCTTTGGTTGTCTCTAGTACAGAAGTTATTGAAACAACATGCCCTCTAACATTAGCAGTCACTCCAATTTTTCCAACATTGACTGCAGATGCATTAATTGGTCCTTTACCCCTCCCACCAACTGTGATTTCAGGTCCTTTGCCAAGACCACTTAATGTTTTTCCACCATGGGTTGGTAGTTTTGTGAGCTACAACAACATGGGGTATTAACAAACTCAAAAGTTACAAAATAAAAAAGTTGGTTATATAAACAAGTGAGTTACCTGAGTGGATGACCTAGTACTCCTCCTCTTCAGTCCAATAGAAGCAGTAGTAATTAGTGGCTGAGATGCTGCCTGGCCTCCTCTTCTAGTTTGGCTCTTATTGGATATCTAAGGCAAAAAAATTTCCAATTAGGAACAAATTGGGTAAACTAATATTAGTTTCCTAATTAAAGTCACAAGTCAACATTAAAAGTTGGTTACTTCATTTGATGGGATGTTTGTTGTAGGAGTAGGAGTTGATGCAGGTTGAGATGATTGCCCACTAGCAAATCTCTGTTGCAACAAACAAATTAAGTATACAACAAACAAATAACAACATGTGTATAATAAATGAATGCATAAGTATACACTAACACTCACCATTTTAGACTTAGGATGCAGTCTATTCTTACATGACCTCTGATTGTACCCCTTCTACAGACACTTAGCACATGTCACATTGATATTCTTCCTTGATGCCTTGTGTGGATTTCTTGGCTCATTTGCTTGTCTATTTCTTAACTTTTTTGGTCTACCTGCTTATTTCTTTGCTTCTGGTGAATTCAATTTCTAGCCACCTTTTTCATACTCATGTATGTTTAGAATTGGGTGTTTCATGAATGCATAAGTATCCAAGTACCTAGACTTGCTGTAATACTCATGCACATAGGCTTCTAACTGCTCATGATTTATTTGAATGGCATTAATGGCATGACTACAAGGCAAACTAAACAAATCCTATCTCTTGCAACTACATGTCCTAGTACTTAGGCCCACTATGTCTCTCTTTTGAAAATGATCAACCTCAAATTCCAATTGTCCACACCAGGTTGCAAAGCAGTTCCTTGATTCCACCTTTAACTTCTCAAGTTTGTTATGAATATTGGGACAAATCTAACCACTGTATTTTGCCATTCCAGCCTTTTTAACTTGAATCTTGTGCATCAATTTCCTTCTGATCATTCAAATATGGAGATTATTGGTAGCTCTCTAGTTTCTAGAATGTAAGAATTGAATGACTCACTCAAATTGTTCACAAGGATGTCACACTTGCTCCTTGGAAAAAAATGTGACTTTGCCCACAAAGCAGAGTCAGTCTCCCTCAACCACTCCACAGTTGTCTCCCTATTTCCAATCTTAGGATCAGTTTCTTCAATCTTCTTCATCCAATAATTGAATTCATGCACATTTCCAGTTGATGCAGCTTTCCAAAACAAGTCTTTCAACACACAACTACTGTATTTTGTCTTAAAGTTACTATACATATGTCTTGGGAGTATAAGTGATCTACAGTAGGGTATAACCCTACAAATGTTTCAACCAACCCCTTCTGTCTATCTGATATAAATGTCCACCCCATCTCCCCAACACTCCCAATATCACTCATCAATTCCTCAAGAAACCAAGACCAAGAGGCTTTACATTTTATCTCAACCAAAGCCACTGTAATAGGATACATGTTGTCATTTCTATCTCTCTCAATAGCACTAAGTAGCTGCCCTACAAAAATCCATTTTAAATGACATCCATCTAGTCTTATTATTGGTCTACACCTTGCTAGAAATCCATTTTTCTGTGCACCAAATCTGAAATACATCCTTTGAACTGTAAGCTCTGTCTTTTCAGGATTAGTTGTTATTGAAATGTGTGAGGTTGGATTTTTCCTAATAACTATAACTGCATAATCCCTAATCCCGTGATATTGATCTACCAAATCCCCTACAATTATCTCCCTTGTCTTTCTCTTTGCCCTATATATTTGAAACCTACTTGCATCCATCATTATCTCTTTTCTCACTTTTTTTTTTGAAATAGGCTATGTTAATGGAGGGGTCATCTCTCACCTCATCTACAAACTTCTTCCCCAAATACTTAAAGTTGGCTTGTTTGTTGTTGTAATGCCTCTCACATGTGTGTTTCCTCTCTAGAGTTTTGATCTGAAAGGTTGTGGTTCCCCCACTCCTCCAAGTACAGGTATGCCTACAAACAGCAGTGATCCTAACACTCTCATTTCTGATGTACCTTATATCATAACTATCCACCACATTAAACTCCCTCAAATACTCTCTGGAAACTTGGGGACTGGGAAATTTCATTCCAACCACAAGTTTGGGATCCCTTATCATCTCTTCTTTGTATTCAAGGTATCCAGCATCATCTGCCTAATCTGATGCCCTTTTTTGACTAATTAATTCATCATCATCATCTGAATACCAACCAACATCATCTGGTAGATTGACTTTAGATAGTGGTCCTTTAGTTATTTTGTGTGAGGTTTCATTAAAAATGTCATAATTTGGACCCTCTAGGTCTTCATACAACCAACTTTGGTGATCACTTTCCTCTACACTACCCTTAGAAGCTTCAGTATCACTATATTCTTCACTGACTATATAGTCCAAGTCCTTAGAGTCATCACTATAAGTTCTCTCTTCATCAGGCAAAAATTCAGTCTCATTCTGTGCACTGTCACTCTCATCAGCCTCATTACCTTCTACAGACTCAGTGTCAGTAGTATGCTGCAACCCCTCCTCATGTTCTATATCATTACCCTCATGCTCCCTAGCCTAATTCTGACTTGATTTCTCACTACTCTCACATTCTTTACCCACACCACCACCCTCAGCTACTGTCACAACCCAATCTCGGCAAGGCAACCCCAACCAAGAGGGCGCACTTCAACGCTATAACACCTGTACACAATAATCACCTGTATAATTCTTATATCACATCACCAATAGTGCATAAGACCCTTCGATTGGCCAACATATATGAGATGATCCATTCAAAGACAAAAATATCATCATACTACTAAGACAGTTTCCATGCACCATTACCCCCAAAATAAAACATACTATTCATGAATCAATCAATACATCCAACTTCACAAAGCAAATATTTACAATCAACCTACTTCATAAAACAAAGGATAAAACTACATCCTAGAGTCACCCTAAGCAAAACCTCAACTACCAGATGTTCACATTTGATCCTCCAGAAACTCTAATCTTCCAAGTTGAGGCGAGCCACACAAAAGTCTAGGAATTTGAAAAAAAAAAATTAAAAAAAAAGAATGAGCTAGAGCCCAATAAGTATACCAATCCCATGGAGTTATAAAGCTTGCTCTGATTTCTCACTACTCTCACATTCTTTACCCACACCACCACCCTCAGCTACTGTCACAACCCAATCTCGGCAAGGCAACCCCAACCAAGAGGGCGCACTTCAACGCTATAACACCTGTACACAATAATCACCTGTATAATTCTTATATCACATCACCAATAGTGCATAAGACCCTTCGATTGGCCAACATATATGAGATGATCCATTCAAAGACAAAAATATCATCATGCTACTAAGATAGTTTCCATGCACCATTACCCCCAAAATAAAACATACTATTCGTGAATCAATCAATACATCCAACTTCACAAAGCAAATATTTACAATCAACCTACTTCATAAAACAAAGGATAAAACTACATCCTAGAGTCACCCTAAGCAAAACCTCAACTACAGATGTTCACATTTGATCCTCCAGAAACTCTAATCTTCCAAGTTGAGGCGAGCCACACAAAAGTCTAGGAATCTGGAAAAAAAAAATTAAAAAAGAATGAGTTAGAGCCCAATAAGTATACCAATCCCATGGAGTTATAAAGCTTGCTCATACTAATTGGGTTCAAAATAAGATAATAAACACAAGAGCTTAATTGGACTAAAATTTATAAAATTTGAGAAAATTTTGCATAAACCGTTATCAAGATTTTTCCAAAGAATCTCATAATGCAAGAAAAATACATTTGAATAAGGAAAGTAAACAAAATACAACTTTTCAATACATTAAGATTTCATGTCCATCATACAAACCACTGCATAGCCTTAGGGTCGCGTTACCTCGCGACTTAGGTGGTGACGGTACCGTTACCCAAAACATAACCATAGGAGCATAACTCATGTCATCGTAGCACTTCAATTCTCATTTCAACGTTTCGGTCCCTAGGACCCCTTATGTACAACGTCCCTTATGGTTCTTAACACATTTCGGTCCCCAGGACCCCAAAGCATTTTGGCCTTTGTGGCCCCAAAGGCCATATTCGATTATATGATCAATAAAAATAAATACTCTCGCCTGATGTTTCATTGTCATTTAATCATCATCATCATCATCATCATAAACTTTGAAGGACTAAATTTAAATAAATTCTCATAAAAATTAGTGCTTCATTAGACAAATGATATCATATATTTATTTAAACTCAACATTTGACCTCAATAAATTTATAGATTTTCTTCTTATACATATATCATTATGAAATGTGTTACTTCCTTTAATTCAAAAATATTTTCAAACTTAGTATTAAAGATAAAGATAAGGTAAATTTCCATAGTAAGTATACTCACCTCCAAAATAGCAAAAGCGTAGATTTGAAACTCTACGAATTAATTCCCAAGACGTGTAGAGATGCCTTCCTCCAATCCTAACATTTAGTAAATAGGATCTAAAATTAAAGAAAAGCTTTCAATGAAAATTACAACATCTACAAAATTGATCCTAAATAAAACATGCTATGGAATGACAAGCTAAAGAACTCCTTCAACTTCAAGTCATCCAAACAAACTTCTTATCCAATCTCCACGATACCCATCTGAGAAGGTAATTTATATGAATATTGGGCCGAGCTGGACAATGGGCCGTTATGGGCCACAGTACGAAGGGCTGAGTAAAAAGGCCTCAAATCCAGTCCGGTCCAAGCAGGACTTAAAGTTAAGACCGGTTCCAGAAGTGCATTGTTATCTCGGTATGGGAGAGCGCGGCAGTTCGGTCGCTAGGTCACCACCCTCAGAGTTAGTCCGGTCGCAGCATATTACGGTTACCCTGGTCATGTCTTCTAAACCGAAGTATGATAAGCCTTTTTCAAGATACTTCTGTGTTAGTTCGGTTCGACACTTCTATGGATAGCTCAGTCTGGGCATGCGAAGCCGAGGTAGAAGCAAGGAAAAGAAGAACCGAACTGAAAGTTAGATCTGTCATACTTGCATATCTAGTAAGGCAATGGTATTTTGGTCCTATAGAAGTCTGACCATGGTAAAACCATCTCACTTGGTTTAAGCAGTGAGGAGGGTGTTGAAGGATAAGCATTATCTTTCAGGAGTATGAATCCTAGGAGGACTCTGCATGGAGGAGTAGAAGTCCTATTAGGACTATGCCACACGGAACCTATAAAAGCTCACAAATATCACTTATGGAGAGGTAACACAACTTTGATTCCTGAATACACAGAGCTTTTGTCTACTTGTCTATTTTGCTGACTTAGGCATCGAAAAGGTTTTCGGCACACACCCGCCGGCTAGCTCACGTTTGTGTTTTCAGGGAGTAAAGCGACGACGTTTGGAGGAGCGCAGACTTGATCAACAGGATTATACGAGAAGATTTATTTCTTTCCCGTACAATTGGCGCCGTCTGTGGGAATTGCAGACTAGAACAAAACCTCTTGATCAAGCTTTTCCTCTTTAAAAGCAATGGCGCACAACGAAGATTTGCCGTAGTCCGCCATCGACGGACAAACACCAGAGGGGGGTACAAGGCGCGAAGGCCTACCTTCTATCCCTCCCATGGCGGACTTGGAGCCACAACGACAAAATCCCAGGAGAGATGCAAGGGGGAGGAGGCGGACTAACAGCCCCCGTCACTCTCATTCACAAAGTCCTGACACACAAAGGCGAAGGATTGATCCTCAAGTTTTGGAGGACCGTGTAAAGGAGCAGGACGAATTAATACGATGGATGACGGCGGACATGGAGATTATGAAATGCCAGATGAAGGGAAAGGAGTGGCGATAGGAGAGGGGCGCAAAAACAAGACGCCCCCTCGCCGCTCAGAAGACCGTGGAAGGCATTCCACACCATCACAAGCAGAGAGTAGAAGCCTCAGGACAGGCGATACTCAGTCCAGAACCTCCAGAACTCGTTACTCCAGGTCTGAGAGAACGAGATCATTGAGGTCTTACACTGAGGGAAGTACCTATCGACCCTTGCACTCGCACCAAATATCATCCAAGCAGACGGAGTTGCCAAGATCATCCGATTTGCGGATCATGCTGGAAGAAAAAGCACAATGGAAGGAGGATACTAGGGCGTGCAACCCTCACAGGGTATCTGCCCTTCAGCGGTTGGCTCCTCGGACGCATGGAAGCGTTGAGGTCGGAATGTCGTTACCACGCTCTGCCTACGAACCAACGGACAAAGCGTTAGCAAGGCTGCAGACCTCGCCGTTCGTTCCGGTAATTGAAAACGCGCCCCTACCTTCAGGCTTCCTTCAGCCCAAATTCACCACGTACGAGGGAAAGACGGACCCCTACATACACCTAAGCCCCTTCCGCCAGGTTATGGCGGTATATCGGCGAAACGAGGCTTTGATTTGCATCCTCTTCCCATCAAGCCTTGGTGACCTAGGCTTGACTTGGTTCGAAAAACTTTCAGAAGGCAGCATAGCCTCCTGGGCACAATTGGCGGAGGCGTTCATCACAAGGTTCAGAACGAACACCAAAACCCCGGTGGAAATAGACCAATTACTCTCTATCGACATGGGCGAAAAGGAGACACTAAGATCCTACAATAGTCGCTACTGGGAGACATTCAACCAGATTGGGGACTGCCCCACCAATCTCGCCATTGCACAATACAAAAGAGGCCTTCCAGTTGGAAACAGACTAAGGGACTTAATCACAATGACGCCCCTCCCCACGATAGAGGCCGTGATGGAAAGAGTACACCAGCATATTCGGGTAGAGAAGAACGGCACCTGCCCATGCCAAAACAAAATCTGGCACGACTGCAGTACCAGATAAAAAGACCGCAGCAAAGATCAACACGGTAGAACATCCGAACAAAAACAGACGAGACAGGTGAGACAACGGTGAGGATCAGGATAAAAGATGGCTGATAGTCCGCACTGCCATAACCACGGTATTCAAGAAACCGATCTACCGGATTCTGAGCGAAATACGCGATGAACCTTTCGTCAGATGGCCAGCTAAGCTAGGAGAAGCACAGAAAGACTACGATGAAAGATCACGATGCACCTTCCACAAAGAAAAGGGGCACCGTACTGAAAATTGCATGTCATTGAGACAGCACCTGGAGGAGTTGGTGACAGCTGGTCACCTAGATAAATACATTGAAGGAGGGACGCAACCAGCCCCCCAGGACCACAATAACCCCAATGGAATGCCAATTGATGCCCGACCTCAAGGAGTAATCAATGTGATATATGGAATATTCGAACCTGAGCGTGTATGCGAGCTCAGAGGGTCGATCAAGAAGGCTGAGCACTTAAGGGAGGTACTAAGTGCCCAACCTATCATCAAAAAAGGGAGAACAGAGGCCAAGAATGTCATGTCTTTTTCAGACAAAGACTTGGAAAGAATATATTGCCCTCACAACGATGCACTGGTCGTCACCCTCCGCATCAAGGACTACGACGTCAAACGAATTCTGATAGACCAAGGTAGCTCGTGTGAGATAATGTACTACGACACCTTCAAACAACTGAAATTGGAGGACAAAGACCTGGCACCAGCTGTATCCCCCCTGATCGAATTCAACTCAATGCCAGAATGGCCAGTCGGCAAAATTATCCTGCCAGTCAGGGCAGGGAGCGTGATAAAACAAGTGGAATTTTGGGTGTTGAAAGTCCCTTCCACTTACAACATAATCTTGGGAAGAACATGGCTCCATGCCATGAAATTAGTAGCATCATCCTACCATCAAGTAATGCGGTTCCCCAATGATGCCGGGGTAATTGAAGAGGTCTTTGGAGACCAGATTATGTCCAAGCAATGCTTTGTCACGGTTAATGGCAGCCACACTGCCAAGGGATATGTACATTCGGTGGAAGAACCTGAGAGCAATGAACTATTCGCAGATGTCGGCAAAGCAGCTGATCAAAAAGCAGTGGAAGACTTGGTAGAGATAAGAATAGATGAAAAGAACCCGGATAAGTTCTTTTTGCTCGGTTCGTCGTTGTCCAGCACTGAGAGATTAGAGGTCTTGGAATTCTTGACCTCTAACATCGAAGTGTTTGCCTGGACACCCTACGACATGCCAGACATTGATCCAAACTTCATCTGTCACCAACTCAATGTCCACCCATTCGCCAGACCAATCATTCAGTGCACTCGTAGATCGGCACTTCACCACGCCGAAATAGTGGCAAAAGAAGTGGGAAACCTGCTGGAGGTAGGAGCAATCAGAGAGGTACATTACCCCAGATGGATTTCCAACACAGTCGTGGTACCAAAAAAGAATGGCAAATGGCATGTCTCCGTCGACTACAAGACAGTCAACAAAGCATGCCCAAAGGACAGCTTCCCCCTACCACGGATAGATCAATTGGTAGACCTAACGGCGGGGCACAACCGACTTAGCTTTCTTGATGCATACAGAGGTTACCATCAGATCGCCATGTACGAACCAAACCAAGAGGTCACGTCTTTTACAACTCCAAGAGGACTGTATTGCTACAAGGTCATGTCATTTGGCCTAAAGAACGCAGGGGCAACATTCCAGAGAACGGTCACCAAGATGTTTGAGCCGTTGTTAGGCAGAACAATGGAGGCTTATATCGATGACATGGTGGTCAAGAGCAAGGATGAGAATGACCATCTAAGGGACCTAGGTAAGATGATCCAGATTCTGAAGAAGCACAAGTTGTGCTTTAATGCATCCAAGTGCGCGTCCGGTGTAGGATCTGGCAAATTCCTGGGCTTCCTAGTGACCAACCGAGGTATTGAGGCAGACCCGTCCCAGATCAAAGCAATTCAGGATCTGGAGAGATCTAACTCAGTAAAAGAAGTACAGCATCTTACCGGCATGGCAGCTACACTCAACAGATTCATTAGCCGGTCGTCAGACAGACTACGACCATTTTTTCAAGCATTAAAAGCCAAGTTCGAGTGGGACGAAGAATGCGACCGCGCACTGGAAAACTTGAAAGAATACATGTCTTCTCCACCATTGCTTGTCACCCTAATACCTGGAGAAGAACTCTTCTTGTACCTGGCAGTCTCTCAGCACGCAATTAGCGCAGTATTGGTCCGTGCGGAAGGAATCCAACATCTGCCCATCTATTATGTCAACAAGACATTGCTGGGCGCCGAAACGAGGTACTTGCCACTGGAAAAACTGGCCTTGGCCTTAATGATGGCCTCAAGGAAATTGTCGCACTACTTTCACGCCTACACCATAGTCGTCCTCACAGCTTTCCCATTAAAAGTTTTGTTTGAGAAGGCGAACTTTTCTGGGCGAATCTTGAAGTGGGCAGTAGAGTTGGGACAATTCGACATCAAGTTCCAATCCAGAACCGCGATAAAGGCCCAAGCTTTGGCAGATTTTGTCGCAGAATTTACCCCGGGAAGTCCTCATATCTGCCCAATCGACCTGACTAACACAACCAAACTAGGGGTGGAAGTCGATGCTG